TAATTGATTATTAATAAAATAATTTATATTTATTAATTAACAAATTAATATTTTTAGATACCCTCTAAGAAAAAACTAAAATTTTAATCATTTTAACAATATTAATAATAACAATAACCACACTCAAAACACATACTTAACACAAAAGAAGTTAGAATAAAGCAGTAATTTTACCTTAATAATATGTGGAAAGCAGACTAAAACGTCTCATACGTGTAACCCAAGATGGCCTTCCGTTCTTTGCAATGTTTTGAAAATGGGTTGCCGGTTGCCAATACGGTTCGAGTGAGCATTCAGTGTCGTTGGAGCTGTTAAACTGCTTAAAACCACCTGAACCGTTTTGAATCATTATGAATTGGTGAACCGTCCAACCAGCCATTTTAACCTGAAGGATAAAAATTTAAAAGAAATGCCATCAACAAGGTTCGAATACTAGCCTCGAAAGTGTTTAAGCAACCATTTGCCACTAATCCCTGTGCATCATCCACGCCTTGAGGGAGGTGTAATAAAATCCTGCCCCCCAAAGATAAAATTCTGCTTCCGCCACTGAATGGAGCATGATCTTCCTCAAGGTGTCACTTTCTTTGATAAACTGCCATCTGGATTGGTTCAAATCCTCCATGGGGATGCAGCTGGAGTTCCCTACTGCAGCCGTAGTTTTAGGCTCCATCTAGTATGGTTAGAGTTCTTAGTTTTTAGTTTTAGTTTTTAATAATTAAAAAATTTATGAAAATTAAAATCAAATATTTATTTAAAATGAGTTTTAATAGTAATAACAAAAAATATAAACTCATTTAATAATAGTATTAAAATTATTTTTATTTTTACTTCTCTAATAATTATTGACTAATATGTTCAGAAATATATAAAAATAAATGAGTTTTTTTTTTTGTTTAGAATTATAAAATTTATTAAAATTAAAATCAAGAATAAAAAAATTACAAAAATACAAAGTGAAGCTTAGTTATTTTGTAATTTTATATATCTTTGAAGGACAAGAAAAAAAGGCAACCATTTTCCACCAGCGCAAGAGTATTCGTGATGACTTGAGTTGTACAAATCGCAGGTGGTCGCTTAAAACGCTTAAAACACTTGAGTTGTAAAAAATATTACTTATTTCCCCATAATTATCAAAGACTTCAAAGAAAAAATTTTTAAAAATACAATAAGTTTGAACTCCAGTTCTTCTGGTTAGATAGAAAGTCTCCTACCCAACCTCAAACATATTTGTTGCCATTTGTTACATTAAAACTTATTAAGTATAATGTAGATACCTAACAGATTAATTTGTCAACTCCAACTTATGACTTTTTAGGTGCGAAAAAAGAGTTCTAATCGTTAGATACTTAGACCATATTTAATTTAATAA